AAGGCGCATCGACCACTTGCAGCGTCGACGGATCGCAATCCGTCCAGGCTCACAAGGTCTTGCATCTGATCTGACTGAGGTAGGGCTTGAGCAGAATTGTATGGGGGGAGGGGGAGCCGGGTGGGGATTGGGTGAACTGGATTGAGTGGTTGATGCATTGCTCTGTGCACCAGGACCTGTATGCTTTTCTCACTACAGGGAAAAATGTGTTTGATTTTCTTTATCTTGCATCCAGAATCGCCTTCAAGAGGGGGGGGGGGGTGGGAAGTTGGGAGCTTATTTGTAAGTTAGATACATATGTGTACCAAAGTAAGCATGTGCTGAAAGTATGGGAAGCATGCTGTTGAAAACAAATAAATTTCAAGGGATTTTTTGTTACTCCACCCGGGGGGGGGGGGGAGGGGAAAATGGTATACGGTCCCTGGTGCGCATTGAAATCCCTTCCATTCTCTGAGTGAAGATCGAATCCGTGGCGGAATTCCAAGGAACCGATGACCATTCTTTCCCTTCTTCATTCTGTATATGCTATTTTTTAAATTTTTCCCTTTCTTTTTCCTTTTCTTTTCTGTTCCTCTTCCTGTTGCGATTGTTATGCATTTCAGTCCCATTCTATGCATTCACAACGGACGTTTAACGGCCATAAATGAGTATGTAGACATATTGCTGAGCAAATAAATCTGTTTCCATTCTAGTCCTAGCCAAGATTGGAGTGCTATATAAAGCTCCACTAAAACACCTCTTCCATAACCCCGCTTTCTTATTGTTAGCCCAGTTCTTTTCTTTGATGACGTCTTTTCTCCTTACCTTTTCACAAGTTAACTACTCTCCACATTTATTACCAATTTGATTAATTTTTGATGGAATCGGAGAATTTTACCTATTCTCAGAAAGTACTTTTTTGCCTGTGTAAATCTCCAGTATTGTGGCAGGAGTACTTCGCAAAGTCACATGACCCTAACAATTAACTTTAGCCCAGGCTGGGGCCTCGAGATATTCCTAGCGGTTCTCTTGTGTCATTGGAGTCCTTCTGCCCGATAGGTCGCTCATATCTAACTCATGTTCTTCTCTACGTCTTACACTTGTTTCAAGGGGCTACTTATAGAGAGGAGGGGAAGGAGCAAAAAGTTTCAAATGTGGAGGGAGAATGAATTGCCACCTCCCCCTCCCCCATGTGGTCACAAGGTCATTTCAAGTTCATCGTTTGAAACTAGTTGTACTTTGTACCGAAATTTCACACGTGCTGGGCTACGACATTTTCCTGTAGTTCGTTTTCATTAGGTGAATGACGGTCTTTATTGTGTATGAAGCCTTTGCCTGCTTTCGGAAAGCGAACTGCGCGTGGCTGTAGGACGACGCCCTGGATCGCTTTACTTTTCAATCGGTGATTCAAAGAGAGCACGCATTTCATTATTACACCGGCTTGCTGGAATGGGAAAAGATTAATGCGGCATGTCCCATTTAGAGGATCTGTACCAATTTTATTTGATCCTAAGGTAATGATAAGACTTCTTGTAGTTGATTGAACGAAGCTCTGTCAATGTGGCTTTATTTAACGGACATTTCGGGCGTTGAAGCCTGATTCTTCACGACTATATACATTCATTCGCATATCACGTGTTACTTACATTGTAACCGTGAAATCGTATGACAAAATAGTATACGAAGCTAACTAACAATTAAAAGAGTTGGCGAATCGGGCATACGGTAGCGAATCGCTCGATCCGAGCGTTGCGCCAGCGAATCGAACGTTGCACCAGCGAATCGAACTTTGCGCCAGCGAGTCGAACGATGTACCAGCGAGTCGAACTAGGTACCAGCGACTCAATAGTGGCGGGACCCAACTTTCAAAAAGGAAGGCCACATTCAAACAGTGTCACGTGACAGTGGACGCTGTTTGAAAGTGGCGGGACTTGACAGTGGACACTGTTTGAAAGTGGCGGGCTTCCTTTGAAAGTTGGGTCCCGCCACTATTGAGTCGCTGGTACCTAGTTCGACTCGCTGGTACATCGTTCGACTCGCTGGTACAAAGTTCGATTCGCTGGCGCAAAGTTCGATTCGCTGGTGCAACGTTCGATTCGCTGGCGCAACGCTCGGATCGAGCGATTCGCTAGCGAATCGCTCGATTCGCAAACTATGACATCGGCCTAAGCTTTTCGTATAGCTTCGTATAATCAACTATACGAAGTTTATGAAACAATAAGCTCAGGAACTCTCTGATCCTAAGTAAATAATCCATGCGTAGCTCAGACAAGGCTGTGTGCTATGCTCTGGCCCAAGAATGGACGAAGGGAATCCATTTAACCTTTATTTGCTACCCCTGATGAGAACCGTTCACAAAAGGCGTCACATTTTAAGTTTTTTCTTTAAGTACGGGTAAAATACTGAATGTGGGTGAATTAAATCATAAAATAAATTATGAAACCGAAAAAAAAGTGTTAGGGGACGTGCTTCCCCATGCCGGGTCGGGAATTATGAATGAATGTATGTGGCGCCATAAATCCCAGTGCAAGTGACGTGCGGACGCGCTCAACAGCGTGACCTTTACCCAGCTTTCGAGCTTAAAACACCGTAGGTCGGACTCGGTCTCACGTTTTACTTTCTAATCTCTTAGATCTACGCGCCATATATCGAGTTGCCTCCTTTCACTTTTCTACGGCAGGTGTTCACCTCTAATCTGCCGACGGCTCGGTCACTTTCTCTGCTTTCGCTTTTTATTTCTGTGATCTTCGTATTCCTCGATTTCCTTGCCTTGTTCTTTGGCTACTTTACCTTCCAGTTTTGGAGCATTTATCTGTTGTTTTTGGCATGCCATATCATTCAATAAGTCCTATCAAAGTGCTATTTTCGAATGTACTTTGTTCGACAGTTTTGAAGTCGTATACTCCATAGTACGAGAATTTTTCGAATGGTTATAATGTGGGGTTTGAATGGGTCGGTTCTAAAACAACTTACGTCCAAGAAAAGGAGTTTTCCAAGAAAAGGAGTTTTTAAGACTAGTAAGAATCAGCGATTGCGGATTGGGGGTACAATTCAAGGACTAGGGTTGGGGTTAGGGCATTTGCTCACCATATTTCCTCGAGCACCCTCTGGTCTCTACCCTGTGCATTCCTAGTGAAAAGTGAAGCTTCCTTGGTTACACGGCGTAATTCCTATAGAAATCAGATCTCATGACACTCCCCTCTTTTCCTCCTGAAAACCCCAATACACCACTTTGGCCTTTCATGCCTATACTCGACTAGGCTGGGAAAGGAGTTATGCACTGGGTGAGTGAACTGGATAGTATAATTTGGGATCACGTATGCTATACGAAGTTTATAGTCGATATTTTTTTTTTTTTGTTTTTTTTTTTTTTTTTTTGTTTTTTTGTTTTGTTTTTTTTTGTTTTTTGGGGGTGGTATTGGTCAACCTCTGGAGGGAGTTGTGTTCGATGTTCATAATGTTGATCCACGTCTGAGGGGTGTGTCGTGAATATTGACCCTTCCTTTCTTGCTGGGTGTCTGCAAGGGCTGTAGGGTGTTGCCTGCTGGCTGTTTGTTTTGTGATGCGTTATTTGGTTGGGGGGGGTGTGTGGTGTGTGTGTGTGATGGTGTGTGGGGGTGTGGGGTGTGTGGTGGGTGGGGGTGGGGTGTGGTGTGGTGGGGTGGGGGTGGGGGTGGGGGGGGGGGGGGGGGGGGGGGGGGGGGGGGGGGGGGGGGGGGGGGGGGGGGGGGGGGGGGGGGGGGGGGGGGGGGGGGGGGGGGGGGGGGGGGGGGGGGGGGGGGGGGGGGGGGGGGGGGGGGGGGGGGGGGGGGGGGGGGGGGGGGTGGGGCGGGTGTGCGTGGTGAGAGAGGTGGCGTGGGTGGTGTGGGGGGAGTGAGGGTGTGGGTGTAAGGATGTGGTGAGGAGTCGCGAGGGAGGGGGGGTGAGTTAATGTGGTCCCGTGCGTTGAGTGCGTGGGCGCGGAAGTGGCGGGTGAGCGCGCGAGTAGACGAGCGGGGTGGTCCACCGTGAGTGCGGAGATGAGGCGTGCGGGGGGGTGGTGTGCGCGGGGCGTGATTCGAGACGTAGAGAGGAGGAGATTACCTTGGTGTGTGTGCGATGTGGTGAGAGGAGTTGGTGTGGGGGATGGTGGGGCTGCGGTGCTGTGTGGGTGTGAGAGCCAGAGAAGGTGTGCGTGTGCGTGAGCGGGAGGGCGGGCGAGGTGCGGGTGCGAGTGTGATGGGTGTGCGTGTGTGGGGCGGTGTTGTGCGAGGCTAATTTTCTCGTTTTATTGTTGTTGTCTAAGGTCATTTGATTTTGTATTTTAGATTGTCTTAATTGTCTCGGCTTTTTATCTGTTTATTTATATATGTGTCGACGTCTATCTATGTTTGTTCAAGTTTCTTTTGTAAACGTTGTATAGGTGTGTCATGTGGTGTGGTTGCCGGGATGGCAGTGGTAGAGCGGCTGTCAGGTGGGAGGGGGGGTGGCTCGGAGTATTCGGGATAGCGCGTGTGTGTGTGGCGCGTGGCCGTGGGGTGGGGGTGGAGTGGGCGTGTGTGCGTGTGTGTGTGTGCGTGTGTGTGTGTGTGTGTGTGCGTGGGGGTGTGTGCGTGGGGGGGGGTGGGGCGGGGGCGTGGTGGAGGGGGTGGGTGAGTGGCAGGGAGTCGCGGGCCGCGGACGGGGGGGGGTCTGGGGATGGAGGTGTGGACGTGATGGAGAGTGTGGTATGAGCTTAGTGATGATGGATTTTTCGGAAGGCCGGGTGTGCGATGGGCGTGGGGTGAGTGGGGTGAGTGATCGCGAGCGCGCGTGCGGGGGTGGGATGTCAGCGCGAGGCGGTAGTGTCGGAGTGAGATGTGCGGCGAGGTGTCGGCGGGGATTCGGAAGTAGTGTGGTGGTGTGAGAAGAGAGAGGAGAGGCGTGAGTGAAGCGCGGGTGGTGAGTGTGGGGTAAGAGACGGCGTGAGATGTAAGAGAGGAGATTGTGAGGAAATTCCGATTTAGGGATCCCGGGTAACTCCTGCGGCGGCCAAGGAGCTGATGGCGTTTCTTATTGGTAAAATGAAGGAAATCAAAGAAGTCTCACTGAACATTGAAGATTCTGATCTCACAATTTTCAACGCGCTACTCGATCAACTCATACAAGCCGGTTCCGGTGGTCGGGTAGACTTTGGTCGTAGCGCTCCTTTGATTATATTTTGGTGTTGGTTTCAGAAATGTTAAGTTGGAAGTTTTACACATTAAACGGCGCAAGGGCGGGCAGACAATTCCGAAGGTGAGTGTAATTTTTTGTTTTAGAGGCAGTATTTCCTGGGATCGCGATTAGTTAGACGGGTAGTTACTGCGGTTGTTCAGATATCGATGATAGCAGCGAATGCATCTACACTTCGAGTGGTCGGTCGGATTGGACTGTCTGAAGCTGGTGCTCTGAATTCGTCGGTAGGTTGAAGTTATGCATCATAATGCCCCCTTAGAGCCTGAAAGATTGTTGTAAATACCAGATTCCTTACCTCATTCAAAGAGCAAACCGTCTAATAGGGTGTCGAAGGGCTAGAAAAGGGCCGCTATGCGACGTCGCGCGGAAAAAAGGGTTAATTGTGATGCCTCAAATTTGGTGTTTTCCATGGGTGAAAGCAACATAAGCGCTAAGTGCCGACCTTGTGCGGCTCCACCGCAACCGTGGCATCTCTCTGACGACATCCCAACCCTATAGTCTCAAGCTCCTGACGCAATCGTGAGTGAAATATACGGAAGGAGGTGTGGTTGACAAGGAGATTAGCTCGCAGTAAGAGAATTGTGAGAAGGGGGAGGCGCGGAGGACTAACGTGGTTGTCACCTTTAAGGCTGCCTATCAGTGGCTACGTAGTATTCGACAACTCTGGGTACCCAAAAGGTGGCGATAAGCCATAATATTTTCTAAAGGATTTGTGACGCTCCTCTTGGGCTGAAATCGCCCACAGAATCGGCTTCCTGGCCCTGGTCTGTGGCTTCTGAGATGACGTGGCTTATCAAAGCAATATTCTCTTGTGTTCAGATGCACCTGGAGCGTCTCTCGTTGATGATGTTCGATTTGGGATTCGATGCTTCTCAGACGGCAATTTGTAGTCATTTTCTGGAGATAGCCAGAAGTGGAGCCACTTTCCGACACCTCTCTTACACAAGCTTCGTCGGCTTTGATCCTACCGATGATGTTGTACAGGTGTGCAGATTTTTTCACATACATTTTCCCATTCCCAAATACACCCCCTAACGCGCTAAAAGGTCTTGGTTCTTAGTGATATTGAATGACACTATCTAAACCGCACCACCCTCCTCCAGCCAACATGATTACTGTCTCTGGTGACGAAGCCATATCCTTTTGATCGGCTTCACCCAAGCAGCTCAGCGGCAGTTGATCTGATCATGTGAACGTTCATTCTTATCTTGCTGCCCATCTTTGCTTCTGCTCAGTGGAGTTTCAACGTTTTGTGGATGTTTTTTTTCCATCAGTGATAAGGAAACAGAGACCGCGGACCACCCGTTACAAATAAGTTCATGAAAGATTGTGTAGCTGTGCTTAAAACTGTCAGCTGGCGCAAATCGGCTTAGAGTTTAATGCTCTTATTCAAATGAGTTTGCTTCACAATACCAAGTTCCATAAAACAATTCGTTCAAGTTTCTATTATTGTAGTGGCTCAAACGGAAGAAATTTGTGATAAATAGGGCTTAAAGTGGTAAGTGGCTCTGCTCACCACGCGCATGGTCCTAGGCTCGAATACTTGATCGGAGGTTGTTAAGGCACAAGATAATATAAACATCTTCGGGGTCGGTCAGTTTGCATCGAGTCTATCTGGAAGGATCGATACCCTGATTTTCGTATCAACTGACCCTCGCAAGTCCTGCATAGACCGAGTCGCTTTCACCATTCATGTGCCACCACGATTCGAGAGGGGTATAAGCGTGGGCGCGGCCTGGCGAAAGGACTGATCAACGTGGAATGACCTATTTTTTGTACTTTGTTATCGATATTCGTATTCAAAATCTTAATATTCCTTGTGTTAAAGAAACTTACACATCAAAAAAAGCACGAGTTTTAAGACGTTCCTGGATCGCTGCCAAGTGAGAAGCCTTCGTTTGACGATGATGCGTGGACCATACATTCCACCACAGCCGGATTACATGGTTGGCAAGGTTAGGGTGGGTCAGCGATCTCGGGTAAAAAAGTACCAATCGATTGAATTGATTTTTCCAGGTTCGTCAAATCGATCATATCGAACTGGGCGAAGTGGTCGACAAACCGAACATCTTCAATTCGCTCGTCACCTACGAGAATGTGTTCAAGAAGGTGTTCCCCAACGTGCAGGACATTCCACTATTTCCAGCACTGGTGAACGGCAGCCCCAGAGGGACTATCCATCATCTGTACATATACTGTCAGTATGTGGTTCTTGTGCTAAACTATTCCCTAATTTGACTGATTTCATCAAAACGAGGGGTAGAACTTTGTGCGAAACTACTACAGGCAGGATGTTGTCCGCAATTTGTACTTATTTGTAAATATTTTCGGTTTTGTGAGGGGTATCCCATTTTGACCCCGGTTCTCGCAATGATCATGATAATGACCATGTCCACGACTTTAATTATGCTACTGATATGTTAAATATATTGTGACTGACTGCAGATCTATTCGATCTCAATTGTTCATGACATGAAGCACTTGTTCAATTGTTTTGTACATAGGCCATTTTCTCTTTTGAGCAATTCTCTTTTTTCCAATGGTTTTTGCTGTTTTCTTCAGGCTTTCTTGTTGTTGAACCTACGGCTAGAATGTGTAGTTCCAGATTGTTCTGCACCCTGTACATACAATCATCGTATTTTTGCTTAGAATGTCGGCGGAGGGTGTCACAGAGAGGGAGCGGGCGCTCGTGTGGTGCGGGGACATTTTGGTGCAGAGCTAGGTGCAAAAACTAAGCAGGGTGGGGCGGACCCGAACACGGATCAGATGCGAAGCGGTACGCTGCGACATCTATCCACGAAAATGTTGTCAAATCCTTTGCAGAAAGGTGCCTCAAGGGAGAGCGAAAATGTCTTCTCCAGTGCAACTGCCTTCCGAGGCTGTTTAGGATGACCACAACGCAATGACACTTCGACGCAGTCTTGATGTCCTTGCTTCTGGTACTATTGATCACAACAGCGCATATACCGCTGATGACTTGCATTTTTTGAGTTCTCGTTCGAGCAGGACCACGCTTTTGTCCAAAAAAGGGGGAAAAGAATTTTATTTGTCCCTGTTTTAGAAGGTTTAGCTTACTGCTCCTTATAAATCGGCTTTATTCGCAATTTGACTTTATCGATAATTCACTTCCTATGTGGATCAGGAAACAGGGAGTTGGAGTCTTTTGGCGTGCATCCTGGCATCGCCCCAGCGTGACGGAACTCTGCGGCCGGTCGCTTCTTGGTTCGAAATGCGATGTAGGGTGGGTAGTACCACCATGAGTACTTGCCATTTGCTCTGTTTGATCTCGCTTGACAGCGCCTCAAGTGAAACTTTCATTGCCTGGCCGTCTAGCAGGGTTTTGTGAAGTAGAAGAACGGGAGAATTTTTCACCCTTACCCCAGTTTTTCTGGCCATAGTCAAGAAGCCGAGGGAACTCGCGGATGTAGCGTTCGAAGAATCAATTTCCTGCGATCCTAGTTGAACATCAGTATGCCCCTCAACTTAACATTCGTCGATTTGCATTAGGCCAGCGCCTCAATCTTCTCACAATTCTTATTCTAACGTCGCCCTCTGTTGGATTTCTCTTGCTGAAATCCCTCTCAAGTAGATCCACCAACAAGACAGTCAGTCGTTGCCTCTGCTCCCTCTTAGTTCCTTTACCGCAGCTCTTCTCAAAAATTTCGATTCTGACATCAATAGCTCCGAAGTTGACCAGCTGTACCCTTTATATTTTTTTTTGTTAAAATTTCTCCTCGAACCTCAAAACGAGATTGTATTCGAACCTAGTGTGCTTTTCTTATGGTGACTTTCTGAGATGTGCTACCGCTGATCGTTTATTAAAAGGCTTTATTTCAATAAATATATTGGTCTATCACAGAACATTTGGGATAAAACATCATCTGTACACCGTGAGATCGTTAGATATTCGCAGTCTGAAATTTCATCACACAGAAATATTTAACGATTATCGAAAAAATGCTGTCAAGTTAGGTCGAAGAATGAGTCATCACCGGGATATCTAGTACCCGTAGGGTTTTGCGGGCTCTTCACGAGCTGGCGGAATTGGCTGCGGCATCGGTCTCGGCGGCTTTGGCATCGGTTTCGGCTTCGGGCCTTGGCATCGGGTCGGCCTCGGGCATTGGCATCCGGTTCGGCTGGGCATTAGGCATACGCGTTTCGGCCTGGGCCATTGGCATCGGTTCTCGAGTGGGCAGGCTCGTCGCGAGGCGGAGCAGGCGTGGTGGCCGGCGGAACTTATCGGCTTCTCCGCGGTGCTCTTGTGTGGCTTCTCATGGTGTTTTTTCTTCGGCACTGCGGGTGGCATCGGTGCAGGCTCTTCCCGTGCAGGGATCGGCATGGGCACTGGAGCTGGTGGAGCGCCGTAGGCGGCTGGAACGTCTTGCTCTGGCTGAACAACTGGTTGGTTGCGTTCACTAGGAGCGGGGCCACCGTGTCGTCGGCGTGGGGGAATGTTGCAGTTGCCCAGTACTTCGACGCGGCGATAGGGTTGAGCACATACCTGAACAGCCATCATATCTATGAGCAGTGGAATTTGTAGACAGGCATGAGATAATACTTACTTGAATGTCGTCGTAGGCGGTAGAGCAGGGGTCACTGGTACGTCCATTATCTGAAATATCACGATTTTGAACACGAAATGGGAACGAACGAGCACGAAACGCGGAAAAACTCACCACTGGACCTGGTCCTTCAGGAATGAAGTCAGGAGTGACCGGCACGGGCGGAATTACTGGAGGAGCGTAAGGATTCACGACAGGAATGTCTTCTGCAGGTGGAGCCTCAGTGGGCATCTCTGGCGGTGGAGCGAAGATTGGAATGGTTGTCGGCTCCACTGGTGGTAGGGTAGGAGCCTCAGTGGGTAGGTCCTCTGCTGGAGGAGCGTAGATGGGAACTGTCGTGGGCTCCTCGGGCGGGAATTGTGATAGGAGCCTCAGTCGGGATGTCCTGTGCTGGTGGAGCGTAGATGGGAACTGTCGTGGGCTCCTCGGGCGGAATTGTGATAGGAGCCTCAGTTGGGATGTCCTGTGCTGGTGGAGCGTAGATGGGAACTGTCGTGGGCTCCTCGGGCGGAATTGTGATAGGAGCCTCAGTTGGGATGTCCTGTGCTGGTGGAGCGTAAGGATTCACAGGAATATCTTCAGCAGGTGGTGCGACTGTGGGAATCTCTGGTGGTGGAGCATCGATTGGAACGGTAGTAGGTTCCACTGGAGGTAGCGTAGGAGCCTCAGTAGGAACGTCTTCTGCTGGTGGAGGAGCGTAAATGGGAATTGTTGTAGGCTCCTCGGGTGGAATTGTAGTAGGAGCCTCAGTCGGGATGTCCTGTGCTGGTGGAGCATAAGGATTTGCTGCAGGAATATCCTGAGCAGGTGGAGCAGCAGTGGTGACGACGACTGGAGGGACAAATGTCTTCCAATATTCTTCAGCTGCCTTCTCGTTTAGAACGTACCTGTAAATTATATTTTCAGCAGTTGTCCTTGCTACCCTCACGCTGTAAGGTGCTATACAAGTAGGGTGGGCACGCCGCATTTTTTGAACAGAAATGTATGTAAGTGGGACTGCTGCCCGCTACTATACTGTCACGAGAATCGGGGAATTCGTGAGCCAGGGGGAGTGTAGCCAATCTAGGGGGGGGGGGTGAGGGCAGTCACTTGACATGCGTGAAAAGCTGGGCGTGCCCACCCCACTTGTATAGCACCCGCGGAAAAAACGAACGAACTTCGTAGGTAGTACACTTCGTTGCGGACGGTGGTTGGTACATCTTGCTCCGGCTCCTTGGGTGGCTCTACCGGAGCTCCATACACCGGCTTCTTCACCTTTTCAACAAGCGTGGACAGTTTCTCGACTGCCTTATTCATGTCCGCTTCCGAAGCAGCTACGACCGACTCGACTCGCACAGGTTCGATGTTCTTGTGGAAGGGAAGACGTGACGGTGCTCGATCTCCGACGCCATATCCTGAAAAGCATTTCGTCAGGTGGAGCTCGGAAGAGATCCTCACTGCCAGTAAGGCTAGGAACGCAATCAATTTTGGTTTCATTACTTCGACCTGAAATGAGCCAAATTAGCCGACATAGAGGAGTAACCCAGCAGCACATTCATGAAGAGAAGGTCAGGTATTGAGGCTGAATGAAGAGGAACACATCCAGAAGTTGTCAAGCAGAAGAAGGCAGCCGAATGACCTCGGGGGTTTTTGACGCCCTTTTATAGCTGCTGGGTCCGTCCTTTGACCACCCGGAGGTGGCAAACATGTGGTGGTCGATCAGCATATCGCCAACCGTGTATCACTATTTCCCTTTTTCCCCCGAAATATCATTGATAAGCTTAACTTCTGCTTAGTCCTTAGTTTGTAGCCATATATACAATCTCTTAGCTAATCAGCTCTAAAATACTTTAAGCTACTAAGCTGTTAATCCAGAGATCACTTCGAATCAGTTATTGAGGCGATCGTGCGGGAAGAAATGCGCGGGACAGCGGTAGGGTAACTAAGGGGTCATCGATATCGATAGGTTCTCTTCTATTCTGCTGTAGATTAACCCAATAACCATGGATTCTTCCCTGATGGCTTCGCTTATTATCGCTGTTTTGGCGTCGTTTTATGGTGAGTTGGGAATTTGAAAATTTATCTGAAAAGGTTCAGTTTTTATTTGATGGTGAGATTCGCTGGTAAGAGGTGTTCAAAGCCTAAAATGGCCTATCTTGGGAAATTGCTATGACTATGGTTATTCGGGAGTTTTCCAGCGATTCTTCTCTCATTTTCATCCTTTCATCCTCCCAGTCTCCTTTCGTTCTCACAGGGGAAATAGGCACCAGTGTGGGATAGTCGTTCTCTCCCTTTCTTGGTTGAATCCACCACTTTTCCTCTTGCTGATAATTGCGCCTAAAAATGTTCACCAGTCGTGACTTTTCAGGGATTCACGGCGCTCCCTGCGGCTCTGATCGGCTCGACTCGGCAGACCCATCGCCACCTTACAAGGGCAAGGATTTCGATCTCGAATTGACAAACAAATCATCGCTTCGAAGACCTCGACATGCACCATTTCTGAACTTTAGGGGAAAGGTAAGTTTTTCGTCTGGTTGCAGGGAAATATGCGATTACCGTAAAACTCGAGCACTCTGTCGTGATAAAAGAACGGGTCGCTGAGTACTTTAGCCTCAGTGCCCTTCTCATTTGTATTATAGAGGTCTTTCGGCAGAGCCTTCTGTATGTTTGTACTTCTTTGCACCGGATGGAACTAGTTAGCATTGAGATTCTCGGCATTCCTCATGGTGAGGCCCTGTTCAGAGATGACCGCTTACGCGAAAAAAAACGCAGCCGCGAAATAAAAATATGTATCGACTGAGCGAAGACGCACAGGAGAATCGTGAAGTGGGAGGAACGACGAAAATGAGTAACATACGCATCGACTTCCGACGCTTCGCTCCTCGCGATTTTCCGCCCGTCCGTTTCTCAACAATCGATACATATCAAACTCTCGACCTGAAATTTGCCTACTCCGGACGTTTCGCTTACGCGTTTCCCAATTTTTCAGTCGATCGAGCGTCTGAATCTGGCGAAGCATTTCTGTTTCATTTTCGGCCTCGCGTTTTTGTTTTCGCGTAGGCAGGGGCGTCTCTGAACACGGCCTGAGAATGCGCTATCGCAAGATGGGTGGGGACGAGGCAGGAGATGCAGGCGTTGCGCGGAAATATCACCCAGAACACGACCAAGCTTTTCAGTGCTGGGGAGAAGCTCGAACTTTTCCGAAAGCTTGAAAAGCGGAGGGGAGAGTCCAGGGGTGCGTGGGCCGTTTCACCCCCTCGGTGTTCAAAGCCCAACTTCCAGAATTGGTTCCAGGGTAGGCCTCCACTTTGCGATAACGCACGAGAAGAAATATGAGATATATGTACTGTCTTGTTTCAAAAAGTGGATTGAAAGGACTGAGGAGGATCGTTTCGCTCTTATTCATACTGCTGGGTTCGCCATTTCTCCTACGCACCCAGTAGAGAGGAAGCAGTCCGCTAGAAGAAGTTGGGCCAAAGTTTGTGAAGCATCTTGGGCAGCGCTTCGCGTTCGAGTGAGAAGTTGGGATGCGGCTCGCAAGAAACATGAAGGATTTGGATGACATTGCTGAGTGAGTGACGTGAGTTTTTGAATACAAAGGAGTATTTATTACACTAGAGTTCGTGTATTTACCTGGTGAGTTTTTTGCATCTCTCTAAAAGTCACCCATTTCGGCCTGGTGTTTCACTCACAATGGCACTGCCGGGATCTGGGGTCATATGTAGCCCGAGCCGAGGACGTGCTCTCTAATCTGAATGCAATGGATGACTGCATACCGTCCCTGGTCCACGTTGTAGTGCAAGCTGATTTGTCAACATCTTGCTGGGCTAGTTGCCACCACAAGTGATTTGTCTCTCTTGCTGGACTTTGACACGAATTGTAACTTGACAAACCATGGTTTTTAAAAAAAGCTAGTAGAAATGCTAGTGAGCTGTTAATGAAGGCTATGTTCGTTGAAAAGTGTTGCAGGCATTCCTATAGGTTTGCTTTCCTTTCATTAGAAATTTGGGTGCTATACAAGTAGGGTGGGCACGCCGCATTTTTTTGAAAGGGGCTTGGACTGCTGCCCGCTACTATATTGTCACGAGAATCGGGGAATTCGTGAGCCAGGGGTGTGTAGTGGGAATGGGGGTAAAGCAGTCTCTTGAGAACTGCTTGTGCCCAACTTGTATAGAGCCGAAATTTGAAAGCCTTTTGAGTGCATACATGATAGCCATGATGAATGGCCATCACGCGATGTTTTTTAGGCCTTATGTCTAGCATGGTTGACGGTCATTACTACTTTACTTAAAAAATGCAGTTTGTGCGTCCAATTTATAACTATGCATAGCAAAGCATTGAGTATAAAGGAAAGCTGGAAGTGGAGGAGTCAGAAGCTGAGCTTGAGGACATCGAGTTGCGTTTCTTGTTGCTGATTATCAGCAGTCGGTGAAGGGGGCTGAGGCTATATGGAGTTCTGCTTTTGTAGGTTCAGATTGAAAAGTTAACAAAATCAGCTGGATTGAGAGCCTGTTGTCATATGTGCGCTGAGCTGAGCTTAGCCCGGCTTCTACCTCTTTTTCTTGTGGTGTAGAAGCTATTCGTATCGTGATTAGCATTAGATGGACCTTCTCCCTAGCTTTAAGAGTGAAGTGGTATTGAGGAGAGATGAAGCAGTCAGTGGTGCTAATGGATGGCCTTTCAGCGGTTCCTGCTGTCAGCGCTCGAGAATGGCGCATGGATTCTCGTCCACGACTTCGACCTCCTCCCGGAAGGGCTCTTTCTGAGTCACTTGAGCATGACCATAGTTCCGCATTGCGATGGGTGTCATCAGAGCTGCTCAGCCATCGCACCCTTTCGTCGTCTTCATCGCTGTCGAGTTCCGAGCTAATTGACGAAATTGGTTAGTTTATTCAAATTCATTTTAGATCATTGCAGTGATTAATCCCACGCTTCTTTTTTTCTTGAGTGGAATTTCTTTAG